GCTACTCCTGCTTCGTTAACGCGGTGGACTTGTGGGCAGTATGTTGTCCAGAGTAAACGGGTACGTAGTTTTAAATACGTTACAGTTCAAATATTTGTAATGTATATACTTCATACAGTATTTTCGGAATTGTGCTTTGGGCAATTGTTCAGTGCTTACAAATTGAATCCAAGGCGACCAAAAGGCACACAGAAGCGATTCTGGAATATGCATCTCCTTTAGTGAATTTCCACACAGGTGTTGAGCGGCAAAAGCTATGTCAGATTAGATCCTTATTATTTAATTTGTTGATGTAAATGTCAACCGTTTTCAGACTATAATTGTTTTTGACAGATTCCGAAGTAGCACATATGGGGTTTTTCGGAGGAAAGCCTCTGCAGTGAGCAACAGCATTTATTTGTGTAGGTGTTTCAAAGAAATCCCTGATTCTTTCTGTATCCTGAACGCACCTTCACATTTCTTGTATCTCGTACACTGCTACGCTCCACCAGCATGACAAACTGAAAAGGATATAAACCCAAACAGGGCAGTCACACTTGCTCAAAACTTGCGTGTGCTGGGGTGGGGTATATCCGTGTTGCATTGTTTACATGCAAAGCTCGAATGCCGGCTAACCGAGACCCGTACCTGTTCTCACTTGAACACCTCAGGCAGCACGTGATTCGTCATGCATACGATTAAGTCTAAACTGTACACCCGTCAATCACGCATAGCTCCGCCCCTCCCCTACGCGTACACGTGTCCCATATACATATGATAAAAACATCTAACTTCCTTTTTTTATCTTAGTTTGTAGAATGCATATATGGGAGACTCTTTCATAGTATATGAGAACCTCTAACTTATCGAATCTCTTATTTACATAATCTTACTTTTATGACAAACTGTCAGTATAAGTGTTTATATATGTTTAGAAAGGGTAGCCGAAAACATAATTTATGCATATGCAATGCTGAATGGAATTTAAATTGTTTACTCGGGTGACTCTTTCATTTCTACCAAAGTGGAACTAGGGATAACCCTACTGTATCATGGGATTTGCGGCTGTGTATCGTAATTTTACTCTCGATCATTGAGTTCTACTGGCAACGCGGTGTGGAGAAGGACTATACCCGTTATAATTTATATCAGCGAAATTCGCCAATAGAAACGATGCTTTTAAGGATTTTTTTTTGCGCATTATCTTCTCTGCCGTGGATTGGTGACGTCGGAAACATTCCTAGCGGAATTACATTGACCTTTAGGGGCAACGTTATTGTTGGTGACGTCATCATTCATTCATTAATTTCGTGACGTATCGGGGTCAGTCGGGGTCATTGATGTCATTGACAATCGCAATCCGGCCCTCATATGCAAATGAGTTTGCAGACGGTATATCATGGTTATATTTCTATTTCCCAGCCAAATGCCTTGTATCTCAAAGGAATTAGAATTCAGGATTACCCATTATCAGTGAAGCACCATTGTGTGTTGAAAGATATATGCTATATACAAAATGTCATTAAACATTTTTTTTTCTATTGAAGTATATTTATCTAAATTGCATAAAATCGTAAACCTCATTGCAGTTTCTCATCTTAATAGTTACCTAAGTATCTGATAACAGTAGATTACTTGAAAGGGGAAATACATTGTGCATGGTATTTATTGTGATTTTCAGAAAACGATTTTTTTATTTCGACACATGTTCACATGTACGAATATTGTGTAATTACTTTTAAGTACTTTTAAACATTTATGATGTTAATTATATATAAGATGTGTATTATCATCTCAGTACCCATTGTACCAGTGCCGATAATTAATGAGAATATCCGTCTTTTCTCCAAATCATATTTTATATGAGAATCCTACTTATAATACTTGTAAGATAAAATGAAAACATAAAATTGAAAACAATACATTAGGATTTAAATGTGCTTTTATTCTGTTGTTGCCACTACCCGAGTTCTCGATGAGAGGACGTAACATAACGTGGATTCGACTTAGATGTACATGGCGGGTGTCATCGGAAAAGCAGAAGACGCTTATCCTTCTGTAACACCTGGTCTTATTCTTCTTATACTTTCAAGTGTCTCCTTTCATATGTTTTTTTGCTCTAGTTTTATCGATTTTGAGTTCGAATTATTGTTTTGTTAACACTTCGGTAATTTCTCGTTGTTAATTCTAGTTATGTTTTTATTTTTTATTTTTCAGTATACTGGGCTGCCTCTGCCGGGTTAACAGGTTTGAGGCTTCAGACATATGGGTTTTCTCCGGGTACTCCGGTTTCCTCCCAAATGAAGACCCCCCGCGCGCTAACATCCAGGCCAAAAATAGTTATGAATATAAGTGGAATTAAGTAGTTTCATAACTGTTATGAAATTAAAAAAAAAGTTATTATTTCATGAAAAGTGTTGTGTGGATTTTATTTGATTGACGTATTCATTCAAAATATATATATTTCGTAAGACCTTGCATGTTCAAGGTCAAAATTATTGGGCGGGCGCGGGAATGGGGGGTCGAGGTGGGGATGGGGGTTGAGTTCAGGGTTGGGGGTGTCATACTACAATATCAAAAAAAAAATAGCGATGTATGCGTAATGATACAAGGTTAGGTGTTTGTAGCGTATAATGTTTGAGAGAGCAGTGCAGTGATTTTTTCAGTGCATCGCAATAATCAAATTGAAACTGGTATCAGGCTTAGGACATAGTAGACCGAAAAGACTGTTTTTGACACATAGTCTATCTTCGGAAATGTAGCAAAAGGAAAAGGTACAAGTTGTTACAACATTAGTTACGCCCTCTCAATAATGTATAGCAATTAAATAAATAAAAATGTAAACACATAAACACAGATTATGCTTTAAGGTTGTTATTGTTCGAACTGTCAAACGCCTACTTGTTATATCAATCAAAATATATTAATGGTTTTCAAATATTGCCACGTTTAAATCTGCGGCTAAATGATGGTTACCACAAAGATTGTGCTGTTGTACTGAATACATCCGGGGATCTTGGAATCCCGCCTTTCTTTTCACAAGAATCGATATACTCCTTGAAGGTCGAGAGTGGTCGGTAGGTTCAGTGGATAGCGCACTCGCTTTTCATCAAGGCGACCAGGGTTCGATTACCCAATAAGACTTATAAGGTATGAAGTCCTCTGCCCGTCTCCTTTGGTTTTCTCCGGGTACACCGATTTCCTTCCCTATTAAGAACCCAAGCTCGCTAAAATCCGGGCCAACACAATTTTTTAATATAAGTTGAAAAAAGCTTGTTTCGTCATTTTTGTAAAAGCAATAGAGTTTATATTTATAAAGTAAAGTACGTTGCCATCCTTCTTGCAAGTATGGTGAAAAAGAGTTTCCCTTCTACACTCCGAAGTGATATGGTTCTAAACTGGTTCATGGTGGCAGAGGTCCTTTGCTTTGGTACATCTTTCGCCATATGTAGCCTGAACTATTCCAATTTACAGTATACTACAGTGACTTCAGTAATGCCAAATGTATTTCACGAGTGTGGCTAATATTTCACTTGTGAAAGATATCAAAATATTAGTCACGCTCGTGAAATACATTTGGTATAACAAAATAAACCACTGTTGGATATCCTCTATGTTAAACAAAAACGCGATTACCTAGTTTTTCGTCTATCTACAACATGGAAATTGTATATACCTCCCCAAACTGGGTTGTATCAGTATTTAAGTATGATGGAAATCGATACAGACAAGTTAATCTAGATATGTAGCATTGTCTATGCCCCATAAGCCGGCTAGAACGAGTGTGTTTGAGTGAGTGATTTCACGTCCCCTTCACCATACTGAGTAGTTCGGTTATGAAGCAGACGACGACGAAAATAAAGGAAAATGAGTATAAGGGATAAAGTATGTAGTGCAGGGATTGAAAATGATGATATATAGGAGAGAAGGAGTCGTCTTTCCTACATTTACTAATTTATAATTCTTATACTAGAAAGACGACTCCTATGCATAGGCCACTTTCGTTCGCGATCCAAACGGTTGAACCAGAGTTGTTCGTTAATAAAATAAGGTCGATCCTAGTAATCTGATGCTGCTTTCAGGCGAGCCATAACAAAGCCTTGCAAGGCCTGCATAAACATTTACCGGTCCGCCAGGATTAATACCCGAAATTTTAAAAACAAACCAGTTATTCCGCATAAACGAACATAATTATATTACCTGATCCTATCCAGAGGTTACACTCACTTTAACTCTATGCATCCCAAGAATCTGTCATACCGAAATCGAAGTACGCGACTCGCTATTTGAAAGCAGCTTCATGTAAACAAATTTAGTACCATATCGAACATTAAAGTGGTTGCAAAGATTTCGATAAAAATCGATAAAAAATAAGGCAGTTATGAAAAAATGAAAATTGAAAAGGGACAAGGAAAATAAGACAATCTGTTCCAAAGGAGTAAGCGTTTTCTGCTTCATCGACGAACCCGTTTGAATCTAAGTCAATTTAAAGTAATGTGACATCTTCGTAGCGAGAAACGGGGTCGCTTTTCGTACAGCTTAGTGGTAAACCTTCCCCGTTGGTTATGTTGTAAGTAAAGATCGATGAAAGCGGCTGAAGAAGAAGAGTCTGTGGTGTCCTTGATTTTTAGTTTATTAGAATATATACGTTCGACGTGGTTCATAAATTTCTTGTTACATGAAGATCGTTACATCGTCGGCCTATATGAATTTGAACAGGTTTTGAAGTCCTGTAAGGCCTTGAATTGAATCAGCTTCTGATGAAAACAAAAACAAATCTGTCAAACTAAGGTTACAGTTTGTTTCCAAAATACGACACAAAATAAGTCACAACCACATTTTCTATTCTGCTTTTAGCCTTTCTCGGCAATGAACACCCCCAAGTTTAATAGAACGAAAGCGTTTTTCACTTCGGTATCATGTATGAAAGTGAAATGACTGGAAAAGTTAAAAAAAAATCTTTTTGGTAGGAAGCAACGCTGAAGATTGATCAGGAGATGGTAGTGCGAAATTAAGATAATGGCTTGAATGAGCAACTAGATGAACCAGTGATAAAACTTCATTTATAAGGATTCATGTGACTTTTCGGAATCCAATACAAATAGGGCAGGTATGTATCTTTATCATTAATCAATACGTACCTTATCATTCATGGGTATCCGAAAAAGATTGTACCACAGAAACGCGCTTACCTAGTGTTTTGTCTTGCTAATTATTGGAAACTGTATATGTAGGGTTTCCTTAGTTATGTGACGTTTCCCTAATGGTTCGTACCAGTTACACTTGAGATTCCATCGAGTATACCTACCCCAACTGGGGTGTATCCGTATTTCAGTATGGTGGAAAGATATACAGACTGGTGTCGGGCTAAGATTCTGTAACATCCCATTGTTTTACAGCATCATAGTCCTCGACTGAGATAGCCCTATCTAGCTCAGTTACAGGAATTAGATATTTTTACCCCCATCTTTTTGTTCGAAAATGTCTATTCGATTTTGCTTAAGACTACAAATATCCCCAGGGGGCGCAAATAAAAATGCCCTCTGCTCCACTAAAGGTACATTTGGATGCTTCCGCGTACAAATGTACTCCCTCCTTANGACTACAAATATCCCCAGGGGGCGCAAATAAAAATGCCCTCTGCTCTACTAAAGGTACATTTGAATGCTTCCGCGTACAAATGTACTCCCTCCTTAAAAGGAAGACAGCGTACTAATATTTAACGGTGTAGATTATATTTTATCTACAAGATCAGATATCAGACTATACCGAGTAGTTATCCAGCAGACGAAGAAAAGATAGGAAAATGAGTAGAATGGATGAAATATGTAGTGGAGGGATTGAAAAGGATGAAAGAAGAGAGAAGGAGCCGTCTATCCTACATGTACCAATTTATAATTATATTTTTTGAAAGACAAGTCCTAGGTCTAGGCCGCTTTCGTTTATCGCTATCCGAACGGTTGAACCAGAGTTGATCGTTTTTGAAATAAAGTCAGACCTCGTGATCTGATGCTGATTTCAGACGAGCATTGACAAACTCTTTCAAGGCCTGCATGAACATTTTCAGTTCCGTCAGGTTTTATACCCAAACATGTTACATTTAAAAACAGACAAACAGGTTCTGCGTAAACGAACAGGCCCCAGATATTGGCTTGTTGCCTTATCCTAACTCTGTTTGTCCTTGACACTCCAGAGGTAACGCTCACTTTCGCTCTCTGTATCCCTGGAATATGGCATAGCAAAATCGGACGCATACTGATTAGTCTTAGGTAAAATAACCTGACCAATCCCTTGAATGATACCTGTCCTTTGAAGACTATAAAGCGACACCCGAATTCAAAGTCAGTCAAGTTTACCGTTACGCGACCGACATATTATTTTGATGTATATAAAATGATCAAACTAGTCTCTTCGTCTCATCCACAAGGTGCTGCACACTGAGCCTTCAAATTTGTTATTTCGTATTCCAAGGGGGCAGAGAGCGAAAGTGGGCGTAACCCCTGAAGTATCGAAGATGAACTCTGTTTGACCTGAAGAGACTACAAAGTCGCATAGCAACACCATGCACCGACTTCATCGGGAGAAGGAGACAAGACCACCATCAATCACACCAGCTCCAGGTAAACGTAACGTAAACCCGATCAATTGTCTGAAGTCCGACTAATAAAGAGAGCGTTATTCTACTTGCCGAAATAAACCTAACCCTAACCGACGTTATCATGCCCACTCTTGTTTGAAAATACTTAAAGGCATCTGTATCCTGCAAGGTTGTATAGTTCCGAGAAATTTTCGTCGTACTTTTAATTCCGCCCTCCATAATGAGGGCAAAAAACAGCAACCATAATTTTATGTTAATACATGCGATTGGCGAAATGACACTCGCGGAATACAAATTTTATATTGCACATAGTGGTGACTTTTTCTACAAAATTCATAAAACTTATCATCAGAACATTGTATCAGAAAGACGTATAATAATTCATGGGAAAAGACAGACGGTATTTCACTTTTATTAAAATGAATTGTTTTTTAAAGAGGCAGCCTACTTACTTAATAATCATGATTGTGTTCATAATGTAATGCATAAAGATATGTAAAGGAGGGTTGGTGTCAGAACTGTGAGCGTACGGGACTGGTAAGTAATGATGTTATACACAAACGACAACTCAGCCGCATTATGTAATACAGGGGACATTAATCTCTGGTGAAATTGATAGTGTATTTGTTTTCTTTTTCAGATGAGGGAAAAGAAGAAAAATGAATATCCTGGAGTAAATAAACTTTGAATAAGATAGCTATACTAAACTTGATAAAAAAAAAACCTGACAAGGAACAACACGATAAACTTGATTAATGTGCATGTACCTGTCAGCCACTGTTTTTACGTTTGTTTAGGTAACACTGATGAACGTCCCATTAAAGACACACAAGCTACCGGGACACATTGAAATGTAACCTATCACTATACAATGATAAATTAAATACGGCAAAATTGATATTTTATAAGGCAAAATTAGATTTTACAATTTTTTTTTTTAAATCATGTTTGTAAAAACAAAAAAAGAGTATGTTATGTAACGCTTGAAAAATATACAAATTTACTATTTTCCTGGACTTTACTTCTTTAAGACTGTGGAAGAAATAATTAAGCAAAGTATTATTCGTTTTAAACACATTTCTCCATTCATACAGCCATGTTGCACCTGTCTTTCCTCTTCTTTGGAATCGCATCCGTCCATACCGTGCTAACAGCAGGTAAGTACATTGTTATATCCAAAAAAAAAGGATTTTGAACAGTTATCAGCAATATGGATGAAGTTAACATTATGATTGCATTAGAGGTATCGCATTTACTTCTTCATCAGAGGACATATATTTAAAAGTACATAAAACCGAATTTGTTTGGTTTGATAAACATTTAAACAATATTGCCGTCAAATTACTTAAATGATTACAATACCAATGTGTCTACCTTGAAACTTTTTCTAATAGTGTTTTTCCCATTGTCTATATTCACTAACCTGTTTCCCATGCGTGGGATTTTAAATTTGTGTCGATAGACATTTCTAGTTATGTATTCTTACTTTTACGGTTGCTGTGCAAGAAACGTTTTTTCGAGACTTTTTGTGAGTTAATATGACCTATAAAATTCTAAATTTTCACCCGGGAGTGCTATCCTGTGCATCTGGTTGTTTACCGTCACGGTCGTCTGTTAGTAGGTAACTCTGATGCTAGAGCAAAAGCAAAATGTATTACGAATTGATTAAAGATTATTATAAGTGGGTGTTTGAATAATCTAGCCACGTCCAAGGTCATATAAGGCAAAGATTATTATGCAGAATCCCATTGTAATGCATACATAACACCTAATTGACTATTCATTACCATCACATAATAGGCAAACTATTGTGTATCTATCACAAAGTAGAAGGGCTTTACAAGGTGAACGTAAGACATACGCATGTGAATACAGTTTGCCAAAAATGAATTACACTGCATCGTACAACTGTTTTGTCCTTCTAGGACTCATCGTTGATGTTGGGGGTCAGAAAGGTGGAAATCCAAATTAAGAACAATTTCCTGGTGTTATTTTCAGAACCATGTTCCACAGCAAGTAACGCCGCTTGTTGCAGTCAAGGCGACCCCTTCACTAACGAGAAGGGAGAGCAGGTGTCGTGTAGTCGAGGCTCATTAACGTTATGCCCAGCGGGCTATTCCTGCTTTACGAACGAGGTCGACAAGTGGGCAGTGTGTTGTCCTGCTGAGGAGGTTACACCAGGTACACAATAACGTTATTACTAATTTTGTAATTTTAAGTTTTTTTTCTGTACAGTGTGTTGTTTCCAAACCTACCTCGAAAGTGATTTTCTGTACAGTGTGTTGTTTATAACCTACCACTAAAGTCGTTTTCTGTACAGTGTGTTGTTTACAACCTACCACTTAAGTAGTTTTCTGTCAAGTGCGTTGTTCGCAAACCTATCACTAAAGTTGTTTTCTGTCAAGTGTGTTGTTCCCGAACCTAACCTTAAAGTCGTTTCCTGTACAGTGTGTTGTTCCCAAACCTACCACTTAAGTCGTTTTCTGTACAGTGTGTTGTTTATAACCTACCACTTAAGTCGTTTTCTGTCAAGAGTGTTGTTTATGACCTACCACTTAAGTCGTTTTCTGTACAGTGTGTTGTTTATAACCTACCACTTAAGTCGTTTTCTGTCAAGAGTGTTGTTTATAACCAACTACTAAAGTCTTTTTCTGTACAGTATGTTGTTTATAACCTAAAGTCGTTTTCTGTACAGTGTGTTGTTTATAACCTACCACTTAAGTCGTTTTCTGT